TCTGAAAAACAGGGAAAGTTTCTGAAATTTGAACACATTTCTGATTTTTTTCGAATTCTAAACTTTTTCAGATTATAGCTTTGCTAGTGAAATTAGGTAAGGTGCGGGAAATTCAAAATTTAAGCATAATTTTTTTTCCCGAATGTTTTGTATATGGTTGGATAGAGCTCGTCAAACTGTATAAGAAAATGTATTTTCAAATTTTTTTTCTTGCTTTTGTATAAAAAAAAATCGAAATACTTTGATGACATCTGTTCATGTAAAAATCGACTACTTTTGAGAAATGATATTTAAATTTCTTTTTTCTTTCCTCTAATAATTCTAAGAATATTATTTTCTTTATCAGTATGAAAAACTGAGTATAAAACATTAATTTAAATTAATGTTTTATACTCAGTTTTTTATACTGATAAAGAAAATAATATTCTTAGAATTATTAGAATAAGAAAAAGAGAAATTTAAATATTATTTCTCAAAAGTAGTCGATTTTTACATGGACTGATATCATCAAAGTATTTTGGTTTTTTTTTTATATAAAGCAAGAAAAAATTTTTTAAAATACATTTTCTTATACAGTTTGACGAGCTCTATCCAACCATATATAAAATATTAAAAAAAAAAGTTATACTCAAATTTTGCATTTCCCGCACCTTAATTAAATAAAAAAAAAAAGAAATGTTTACCCAATATTTCTCTTGATCATTGTTAAATCTTTAACCATTAAAGCATAAATTTTATGCATATGAGGACAAATACAACAATCTACTGCAGCTCGTTTTGCGCGTAATACAGCTTGACACAAAGAAAATAAATAATTATTTATTGTTTTTTTTTATTAAACTTACGATTTTTTACTAATTCTTTTCTACGAATATCTGAATGAGGAGTTTCTCCAGTTGTTACATCAAGCGAAGGTACATTCTCATTTTCAGCAGCATTAGCAGTACTATTAATAAGGCCACCTTGATCAACACTATGCGTTGAATTTCTTAGAACATTTTTTTGATCTTCAACACATAAGTAAAGAAAAACACTTTCTAAACTCTAAGAAAAGATATTTTTCTTTTTTTATCTATCTTATTCAAATAAACAAACAAACCGTTTGATTATATTTAATCAACAAAAGTGATGGTTCGTCTTCAGCTAACATTCTACCACTTCGCATAAGACCAACCTAAACGAAATTTTTTTTTCTCAGACTAAAAAAGAAAAAAGAATAAATATTTAATTACTCGATTGGCTTGTCTTGCTTCTTCAATGTAATGAGTCGTTATTATTATTGTTGTTCGACTTGTTTTTGATATATGAATAAGATGATCCCAAATTCTAATTAAAATAGAAAAAAAGAAAACTTTTAAAATAAATTTCGAATTTGAATAGGAACTTTTTTCTAAGTAATGGATCTAAACCAACAGTTGGTTCATCAAGTAGTAATAATTGTGGTTGTTGAAGCAAAGCACATGCTAATGATACACGACGTTGTTGACCACCACTTTACAAAAAGAAAATAAATAAATTTTATTATTGAAATTTTTCTTCAAACCTTAAATGAATAATCTTTTTTCTACGTGAAGGTAAATCAAGAAATGAAAGAAGAAATTCTTCTCGTGATAAAATATCTGATCGATTCATATTATGAAGATGACCAAAATAATGAAGCATTTCCGATA